TCACCGCCCCTGAGCCTCTGGCCTGTACCCCAGTTCTGTATGTACAAATAAATAAATCTTTAAAAAAAAAAAAACTCCACTAAAAACTAATTGAAACAATAAATCAGTTCACCAAAGTGGCAGGTTACAAATGCAAACAGTAAGCTAGAAGAGGAAGTAATTAAGAAAATAATCCCATTTATAATTACATAAAAAAATTAAATAGCTAGGAACTAAGTTAATAAAGGAGGCAAAGGAACTATGCAAAGAAAATCATAACAGTAATAAAAGAAATAGAAGACTCAAAGAAATGGAAAGATATTCCCTGTTCCTGGATTGGAAGAATTAACATTGTCAAAATGGTTGTCCTACCCAAAGCAATATGTCAGTTCAAAATATCCTTATCAGAGTTTCAACAGCATTCCTCAAAAAAGGAACAAGTATTACTGAAATTCATATAAAACCACAAAGACCCCAAATAACCAAAGCAGTCCTGACCAAAAAAAAAAAAAAAAAAGGAAGAATGGCAGTATCATACATCCAGAATTCAAGTTATACTACAAACCTATAATAATAAAAAAAAATTGAGGTACTGGAACAAAAAAAACAGACACAAAGACTAATAGAATAGAACTGAGAGCCTAGAAATAAATCCACACCTATATAGACAGTTTATCTGTGTCAAAGGAGCCAAGAATATAGCTGGAATGAAGAAAACCTCTTCAACAAATGGTATAGTTACTGTAGGTCTTCATTTAACTAGAATAAAACAGATGAAAAGTGAGAGAGCTTATAGTAAAAAAAGAGATCATCTGTACATTTATCCATCAGAAAAAAGATATACCAGGACAGTGATGTTGGAAGCACCTGTGAGCATTATCCACTCCATTTGTTTTTTTCTTTATATTAAATATTACCAATAATTCATGTTCCATTTTAAGTTCTCATTACAATCAGGGGGGTAATTACATAGTATCTCCACTGGGTGTCACCTGTATGTATTCTCTTTAAGTGACTATTTTTTTCCAGTTTCATTCAGTAATGTACAAAATAACCTTAAAAGCAAATTTCTCTAAAAGCATGTGTTTCAAACAATACATTTACTTCAAATAGCCTGGCTTAGTGATTAACAATACTAACAACATAACTAAATATTTTCAAAAATTCCATGAAGAAATGCTTTCTTGGTTTCTGTTGGGGGAACAACTACTGGTCTCCCTACATTTCCTTCCTCCCACAAAGTTATCGTGTAGTACGCTAATATGCAAATCAAATATTAATAGTTATATATTATCCTTACTCATTTTCTCCATTAATTATATGGATATATATATATACCATATATACATATATCCACATGTGAGATATGTATATATGTATATGTACTCATATATTTCTTGGATAATTAAACTGAATAGTTTTTAAAAGTTGACATCAGACTTCACAAATTTCAACACTAAAAAAACAAGCAAAACCTATATTTTGAAGTGAAAAGAAAATGTGACTCAATTACAGTGTACCCACACAAAGTTATAGTTTTTTCAATGGATAAGAATGCAGAAAATATATCACCTATATGATCTTCTTGGAAAAACTACAATAGATTTAGTCAATTAAGAGATGATTCAAAATATTCACTAAGGAATAGTAAAAACACTGTAAAATGACAGAAAGTGAGTCTCAAATCCATTTAAATATATTAGACTATGGTTTATCAACTGTAAGTAACTATGGAAAGGAAAGTGAATGCTTTAAATCTGAATAAAATAAAAATTAGAAAAATAGTTAAGTTAGAAAGGAAAAGGAAAATGATAGCAAGTCATGGGGGGAAATATTAAATGCCTCCATATTTTATAGTAGGATGTCAAAAGTTATTTTTATAATTAAAATATGTGATTTTCCAAAATAACTATAACCTTTTTTGATTTTCAGCATATGCTGAATGAGCTTATGCTTAGAATGAGCTTAGAATAAGTTTTGTGAAAATAGATTCAATTTCAATAATTCCCTTATTTTAGTTTCTCTTCTGTTGGAAGAGATATCATCTCCTAGTCCCTGGAACCTGTAAATCTTATCCTGTATAGGAAAAGAAGCTTTGTAGCTATGATTAACTTAAGAGGTATTTGAGAAGAGTAGATTTGGAAGAGTAGTTTTTGACACTTCTGGTTCTAAGGGCTGCCAACTGAGTGGCATCAGCCTGGGTCCCCCACAGTGGGTCTTAATGGACCTAGTGCAGGCACATTTGCACTTTAGGGGAAAAAAATGAGAGGCTTTTTGAGAAAAAATGAGAGGCTTTTTGAAAAATGTGGCAGTTTTGAAGACACACAGTTCAGGTATAAACCTGGTTATGTATACTAGGTATAAACCTGGCTAGCACCATTAACCAGGTGTGAGCTCCTACTGACACCAATCAGGTTCAAGTTTGCACATGCACCAATGAAATATGGGAAACAGCTGGTTTGGAAAATGGACCAATCAGTTAGAAAGGCAAGTACCCTAAAAGGGACTAGAAGCTAAGCTGGCTTGAGGAAAACTCTCAAGAGTGGCATCAGAGGGTCAGCCAGAGAAACTCAACTTAGCTTTGGGAGAGTCTCTTCTGGACTCTCTCCTGAGAAGGCTTTCCACAGAGACCTTAGCCTCAGCTTCATTCATCTGGAGTGCTGAGGCCTATGCCCAACACCTGTAAAGAGCTGTAAAATGGTTGGTGTCCAGTACTGCCCAGCCTGGCTTTGGATCATAGCCATGCTGCTGAGTGCAGCTTTAGCAGTGCCACCTGTCACTATTCCCAGCTGCCACAGATTAGTTGGATCCTGGTCCACTGCTTATTCGTGTGTCTACCAGTTTTAGGCTCCCGCCAAAGGGAGAATACTATCTTACACAAGTGGCTTTTGATTTGGACTACTGGACACTGTGGACACTACTTGGGGTAGAACAGCTGGCCATTTGTGCCATGCGGCACAGGGTTAAGCCAGGAGCACTGACCTTCTGGTTTTCCCCACTGTGTTCACAACCACTGGCACCTGATTCCAATTGGCTACTATGGGAAGGGAAGGACCACATTTCAGGCTCTGCTGGTGAGGCAACTGCTTTCCTTATACCTAGAGTCAAAGCTTGTAGGCCCTGAGTATATTTGAGTATTTATGTCAAAGAATGTGTCCATTTGTACTTAAGCAGTACACATCCAAGTACTGTTTTTGCACAGCCAAAAATTTGCAATTAAATTCTATGACAGGCATTCTTCAGCCAAACAATAAAAACAAGGAGGGGTTCGGGGTAGAGGGAGAAAAAGACTGGTGATAAAGGGATGTCAAGGAAAACCAACAGCCACCAGAAATGGGAAAAGGCGACTCTTCACTAGATTTTCCAGTGAGTGCAGCCATACTGACACCTCAGTATTTCTCTTAGAGAAATACTGAGAGAAAAAGCTTGTCTGTTCCCTGATTCAACATTAAAGGCCTGTAAAAATTCTACCAAATGCTCCAAAATTTTTTCATCTGTGAGATCATACCCAGCCTGGGATGGTTGCAAAACAAATGGAGATAACTATACACCATGAATTCATCATCACAAGTGCCGTACACACAACCATCATCTGTGAAATTCACCTTGATTTCAGAGATGCAAAAAGTAAACTGTTGATATTAGAACTAGGAAAATTCATCTTAGAATTAGGAAAATGTGATGGTTTTGACTTTTTAGAAAAGTTCTACAATCACATGGAAAAGTGAGAGAAATTACATTCAGCATGACATTACTAGAGAAGATCTCTGCAAACTAGGAAGAAATGCCAAGTAGCTGGTCTACATAGCGTGGCAGACTATCCTGTCTCGCCTGCTGCTTCTTTCATCAGTGTATTTCATTAGATAGCCTGTTCTGCTCGAGACTCTCTCTGGTGAATCCTTTCACCCACCCTACCTACCTCCTGCAGCTCTGGCCTATACCCCAGCTCTTGTATGCACAAATAAATAAATCTTTAACAAAACAAACAAACAAACAAAAACTAGGAAGAAGTAGGAGTACATTTCACAACATTACTCTCATAAAAGTTCTCCTGATTAAAAAAAATTAACACCAGTGATATTATTTGTGCAATTTATGGCTAACATAGGGCTCCTAGGGCTGAAAAGTGCAAAATCAAGATGCTGGTAGGGTTGGTGTCTGGATAAGTCTTTCTTTGGGTTGCAATTGCTATTTTATTGCCATGTCCTAACATGACATTTTCTCACGGTGCTCATGTAAAGAGAAAGAGAGAAAGCTCTCATCAAGTCTTACTAAGTTAGGATTTTATCCTTATGACTTCACTGAATATTATCTCCTAATAAAATCATATGTGGGGGTTAGGGCTTCAACTTAGGAATTTTAGGAGGACATAATGCAATATGTATCAAGCTGTAAACAGAGTTACATATGGGTACTAATTTTGTTTATAGTAAATACTGAGAAAGTAGATATACAAAAATAAGGACATGATTAAATAAACTATAATACACCCAAATAATGGAATATATAGCCATTAAAATGCTTTATGGATTAAAATATTTTTCTTTCATACTTTTCTACTTTAATTTTTCTAAAGTGAATCTGTATTACTTTCTTATTAAGATAATAGCATATGGCATAAAATTGACATAATACCTTTATATTTCAAAAAGTAAGAAAAATGTTCTAAGTTGCCCAACTTTAGAGAAACTAATGTAAGACAAAAAGGCAAGCACAATATTCATAATCTTGCAAAGAAATGTAAAAATGTTTATGACTGCATTAAAGTAACAAAGTCTAGACTTTTCCTGAATGGTTTTAATAGTTTGTCCTGTATATTTTTCTTTGAATACCTATAGGATTTTAACTTATGGAGATGAATGAGTGACAACATGGACAGGCTAATGCCATTGAAAGGATACTACTATTACTTATAGTTGTCAAGAAATGAGTGCATACCATGTCTCACAGAGCCATAGGGAAGCACCAGGTTCTGGTCTGGAGGCAAAACAGGAATAAGGGGGCCAGTGCCTTTGTTTGGGTTTCCTCAGAAAACAGAAGGCAGAGCAGGGTAAACAGTTTAGGGTTGCCTAATTTGAATAATTCTGGCTCCCTTTGGGGCATAGAGACTGTCCCTAATTGTCTGATATCTGGTCCTAGGCTGATTTAGGACATGAAAATAATGGTTAGGTTATTTAGATAAGGAGTTGGTTCAGAGTATGAGCTCTAGATCATGGGGTGAGTATAAGTAACTTTGGCCTTTAGTCTGGCCCTATCACTTACAGAGAGCAAATGAACACATACACAGAAGCCAAGAAAACACAGCATAAGTGATATGGAATTGCCAAACTATTATATATACAGTAATCATCTCAAGAAGTATTCCAGAATTTTTTTATATATAACCTTGAAATTATATATAGCACATAATCATAACCTTCAGTGGAACCATAGTGTAGGAAAGGAGAAAACTATATTGATTCTGGGACTCAGAGAAAACAAGTGGAATTAAAGAAAAGGCATGAAAAAGTACAAAGACTTAGGGCTCTGATACCCTTAAAAATGTTTCTTTCGGGCCCTCCCTGGTAGCACAACAGGTTAAAGCACAGCACAATGAAGCTATCCAAAGCCACTGCAGCACGAGTTCAATCCCCAGCCAGGCAGGTGGCCAACATGGTGTGGCAGACCTCTCCTGACCTACCTGATGCTCCCCTCAGCAGTGTATTCAATAAGTCTGCCTGTTCTGCTCCCTGCTCTGTCTCTGGTGAATTCTCTCAACCCCCACATCTCTGGCCTGTACCCCAGTTCTTTTATGCATAAATACATAAATCTTTTTAAAAATGTTTCTTTCACTTGCTCCAGTATGATAGGATCACACTTTTGCAGATGTATTATTATGTAAATTTTGAAATAAAATGCCTGAATACAAATTTCCCACCTCCAAAAGTAGTAAGAATTTAGACAAGTTACTTAACCTTTTGCAACTCAGTATTTTCATCTATAAAAGTATACATAAGGATTGAGGACAGGATTTCCTTATTAATATATGGGCAATTTAGTACATTTTAGATCTTTTTTGTGTAGACACATTTCATTGAACATAAGTAGCTTTTTAAAAAATCTGACCCGAAGATTTCAGTGGAAGTATCTTTTTTCACTTTCCCATCAAAAATACCACTGATTGAAAGATATTATATTGGGATTGCAACATATACCATAGTGACTACAGTTTATAATACTGTATTATATATTTAAAAGTTGCTGAGAGTAGACCTGAAAAATTCTCATCAGAAGAAAAAAAAAATTTAACTATGGTGTGATGTCAGCTAGACTTATTTTTAGTAATAATTTTATAATACATAAAATAATCTTTACATTGTACACTTGAAACTAATATAATGTTATATCAATTAGCCTCAAAAAGAAAACAATCTGCAAGATAACTGATGATGAGCTACAACCTAATTTCAGGGGGTAAACATTTTAAAGTGTAAATCTTAGCATTGATAAAACAAGTTATTATGTCTTTGTCTAATTTAAATCTAAGTTAATGTAGGTATGACATCCACCAAAGACTGTTGAAACTGGCAAAGTGATTCAAGTATTGAGCAATGTAACTTCTTACTTCTGCAAATTCCATTTTGTTCAATCTTGGTTCCAGTGAGTCAGCAATATTCAATTGTTTGCAGTGTTGTTCTAATTATGGAATAAAGATTATGTGCTAGTTAGTTTTACTGGAATACATCTATTTTTCTATTCATAAATTAATACATCAAAAATATCAAACACTACAAAAACATCTGCCTTGACTTATGTTGGCATTTATGCTAGCAGGTCCTAAAACAATAATTCTGGAAGCTTTCTTTTTAAATTCTTTTGTCTTTATAAATAATATGTGAATCTCTTCTTTCAAAGAATACAAGAATTTCAATAGCAAAAACTTGAAAACCTACCTTTTCTCTACCCCCACCAGTACTCACTTGCTTTTGCCCTGAAGTGACCACTGTCAACAGATTGCTGTTTTCCTTCTAGCAATCTTTTTTATTTACTTTCATATGTATAATGCACATATATCTTTTACTTTTCTATACATAAGTAGGATCCTATTTGTCTGAAACTTTTTTTTTTCACTTAACCATTTATGTTGTAAATCTCTTTATATAGAATAGAGCTCATCGGGAAGATTTGGGATGGGAATTTAGATGAGAATCATGTCATAGTTGAATAAGACAACACAGAGAACTGTGCATATGTATAAAGTGGTAATAGAACCAAGAAAGGAAACTGGAAACATTTAATGTGCAAATAAAAGAAGAACCAAGGAATAAGGAATGCTAAAAGTCTATCAAAGACAGATGAAAAATCAAGAAAGAAAGATATCAGATAAAATAAGAAAAAAATGTTTTGTGAATAACAAAAGGAAAATAGTTTCATGAATAACAGCATGCTCAATAATGATAAATAGAGCAGTTAGTTCAAAGATTATTTAAAGCTTTATTAATCTCATGAAGAGACAAACACACAAACTGATGGAAGAACATTGGCTTCTTTGATTTCTAATAGTAATTCCTCTTACCTACCATAGAAATATATACAAAAATATTCTTTAGATATACCTGAGTTATACAACTGCTTATGAGATATCAATTATTATGGTCACAAAAGGACTATATAAACTTTAGTGTAAGTTTATGCACTAGATGCTGTTATCTTGCTCCAGACCTTCCCCCAAGCTCCAGATTATGTGAGCCAGATTTATTTCTACAGTAACAATTGTTAAGTATATAGGTTTGTTCCCTGGCTGGACTCTAAGCAACTTAAAAGAAGATAACAGGTGTTAGCCCTCTGTGTATCCACTATCCCAATACAAAGGAGATGGTCAACTGGATTTTGATTTTACTTTACTTACATTTTCTTATACTTAAACATGTTATAAGTAAGTACAAAGTCTGACTACTCATTGTCTTTGAGTAAAGTTGTAACCAGATATGTATGCATTTTAACACACTCATGTACATATAGATGAGTATATATAAAACACACTCTATGTCTTTTCTTGTATTTTCCTTCATATCACAATTACAACATAACTTTCTTTTTTAAGTCTGTGTATGCAAATAATCTCTTCTAGGAATTTGACAGGATAACAAAGGGGTTAGTAAAGAATGTCTGTAATAAAATGGGGTGCTGAGCTAAAAGGATTGAAAATCACTGGTTACTTCTCTGACTTTCTATTTTCTCCATTTGGAAAGAGTGAAAGAATCTAAGTACATCTCTGAGAACTTTGAATAACATCTATCTCAGTATTAACTCATCTAAATTCAGCACCTTTCAAAACAGAACTACTACAGCAATAGATAAGGCTTACCAAGTTGGAAGTCTGGACTTTGAAAAAATTCATGAAGAGCATTTTGAATCTGCATATCAAAGAAAAACCCCACATATTACTTCTCAATTACCATGTATTTAGTATTTTAGGCTAAAAGTCATCTATAGTGCTCCCACTTAAATCCTGAAATCCTTCTAATACCAAAATAGAAGTATTAGTAGTAATTAGCATTTACTTTATAGGATACTTCAAGGTGTATAAAATGCTTTCATTCATATAATGTATATACACTCACACACACACACATATAACACACACACATATATATCTCTACATTATTTCCAACCTTTTGTGTGTGAGAATTGGATTGCTGAGAATATACTTCAAAATGTATAAATGCTTTCATTAATACACACACACGCACATACATATATCCTTAAATTATTTCCAACCTTTTGTGTGTGAGAATTGGACTGCTGAGAGTAACCATTTTTTCCCCTTCAGGGACATTTCCAGTAACTCTCAGATATTGGGCATGATAGAACTAAGGAACCTTTATCAACCAGCTTGGCAATCCAAAGAATCCTTTATAATTTCTTGTTCTTCAATTACTAAACAATGAATTTACAGAGTTTTTCTTTTTCTTTTTTGAAACAGACTGTATTTCCCTGAAAGCATACGAGGTGGAGTGTCTTTTCATGAGCTTATTTGCCATCTGTACATCTTCTTTGATGAACTATCTGTTCAAGACCTTTGCCCACTTTTTAATCAGTCATTCACTTCATTTTTGAGTTTTAAGCATTCTTCAGATGTTTTATATGCACATACAAAATAAAGATACATCAGATCTATATTTTGCAAATATTTTCTCCCATTCTGTGACCTGTTTTCCTTGATTTATTTTTGATAATTTACTTGGAACCTAAAGTATGGTTGGCTTGTATCTAATCTATAAAAGAAAATATTGAACTCTTATAGTACAGTTGTTTTCTAGAGCTAAGAGATTTGGTCTTTTAGTACACAAAGTAGCTATTTACACACATGCACAATCCAAACTAAAGATCAGGTGAAAGCTATCTCTGTTTGTAGTGAACAATTTTGGAACTTCAGCCAATATTTTAGAAATCTAACTGGCCCTGTTGCTGTTGTTGTTTTGCAATGTTAAAGCATGAATGGAAAACCTGCCTCTGATGAACAAGACAGGTCAAGAATCTACTTAGTAAGACAGAGTATTTAGAGGGAAGTTTCTAACACTTCATTCAGTATTCTAGCAATCACCCTTGTAGCCCACCCTGCCTACCTTCATAAAAAGCCCCCTTCCTGGTGGAGTGGGGAATGGGATCAAAAATGGTGTGTGTGGGGAGGGGGAAGTGCACTGGGCTGTGGTGATGGCACACGGGTGAATTGGTGGTGGGAAGCCCATGGACTACTATTAAGATGGAAAAAGGCACAAAATGATGTAAAAAGAAACTGTTATTAAAAAAAAAAAAGCCCCCTTCCTTACCACGAGCATAGGAATCATTTCTTTGGGGTCTAGTATCCATTCATTGAATTGTTCCTGAAGGGCCTCCTTCCGTGTGTTAGTCAACTTGACTTTGACTTCCTGGATGCTTTGTCTTTGTTCTCGTTTCTGTTTGACATTTTCCTTCATCTTGGATACTCTGAAGGGTGTAGAAATAGAAGACATGTTGAATTATGACAGTGATTTGGATTCAGATTGCTCAATGGCAGAATGCGTGAATTTAGAGCTTCATTTAAACTTTGTACTTACCTTTTCTCCATGAAGTCTCCTTGCTTCAATTCTTCAGTGACTCCTCTGCTCTCAGAATTTACTTAATTTGGCATTAATCATAGGCTGTCTTCTAATATTAATATTATTTGACTTTTTTTTTAAAGATTTATTTGTGCATATAGAACTGTATAGGCCAGAGGCTCAGTGGTGGTGAGAGGCTTCACCAGAGACAGAGTGGGGAACAGAACAGGCAGATCTACGAAGTACACTGCTGAGGGGAGCAGCGGGTGGGTCAGGAGAGGTCTGTCACACCATGTGGTCACCTCCGGGGCAGGCGGGAATCGAACTCATGCGGAAGTGGCTTTAGCTTCTCAGTGCTGTGCTTTAACCTGCTGCGCCACCAGGGAGGGCCATATTATTTGACTTTTTAAAAATAGCCCTATTTTACCCAATTTAACAATAAAGTACTCAGAATAGCCTTAGACGCTGCCATATAGATCATAGAGTGGTGGGACTCTTTCCTTGGATACAGATGATCATTTGAAGGGATTCTGATTCCAGGTCTAGGATGATAGCCTGGAAACCACATTCATAATAAATACCTCAGGGCTTAGACAAAACTTCTGATATCTGTCTAGAAATATAGATTGCCAACTTTTTTAATCAGGCCAGAGTCAAATATTTGACAAAATATTTAACAGCCTCTGAATGTGACAGTTCCCTTTGTACTCAAACAGTTGTATCACCCAGATTGAGAATTGGGACAAATTGTGATATTAATTTTATTATTCTTACTAGGAGTTTGAAACCCCCAAACTGGTTTTGATTTAAATGCTAAAATGGCTCAGAATAATAAAAATAGCTGCTGGTTTTAAATACAGTTTTCCAAAATGTCTGAGGTAGTCCATCTTTCTTTCCTTTTTTCTTTTAAGATTTTATTTATGCATACAGAAATGGGGTATAGGCCAGAGATGCAGGGGCGGTGAGAGGATTCACTGTTAAGGGGAGCAGCAGGTGAGACAGGAGAGGTCTGCTGGGCCATATGGATCATCTTTGGGGCAGGGATCGAACTTCTCACTGAAGCAGCCACAGCTTGGCTTAGTTTCGCAGTGCAGCGCTCCAATCCACTGCACCACCAGGGAGGGCCTCAACTTTCAAAGAACAAAGACCAAAATAACCTGACAGATTTTTAAATCCCAAAGAATTTTCAGTAAGAACTGGTAAAAAAAAAAAAAAGACTAAAGTCATTACTTTATACCCAGATAACTCTTTTGAAGAAAAATTAAGGCTTCTGAAATACTTTGTAGTTTGAAAATAAAACAGGGAAGTGGTTTAATAGTGCTCAAGGATCTGTTTCTAAACTTCTGTTAGAAGATTAACTAGTATTTTAAAGGAAGTACTAAAATTCTGTAATGTAATTGCTATGTGGTCAAACCCCAAACCGCTGCCACTTTTATCAGATGCTCCCCCCACTTTTTCTTTGCTGGTTCTCCTGTTCTTCCCCTACTCTTCATCCCTCTGTTGTTTTATTTATCTTATCTTCTTCCTCCTTTTCTTCCCTGCTCCCTCTCTCTATAGAGCATTCTCCTCAATTTGTCTTCATTCCTGAATGATTTTCCATCTTGTGTCTGCATGTTCCTTTTAGCGTTTTCTCATTATTCATTAATTCAGTCAATCACTTAATAAGTACTTATTAATTTATTACACATTTATTAGGGTCCAACTATGGATAATGCTGTTTGGAGCTCAATGTAGGACAAATAAGTAAACAATATTGTTTATTAAGTGCTGGGTATCTCAAGATTCTCAAGTGTATTGATCATGAAGTACAAAAATGATTAACAAAATTGGCTTCCTGTCATATTTCTTTCTGTTTGAGATCTTCTCTTTTTCTCTTTGTTTGACTACATTCTCCACATCTTTTATGCATCAGCCTTACTGTCACTCACTTATTAATGCCGACATTTAGAACAAAACCTAGTCTTATGTTCTAGGACCACTGCACATAAAGCTCCAAATATAATCTAAATGGACTTTAAACTGACTAGGTTACTCATTCAGAGACTGAATGGGAAATAGGAGAAACTGTAGTAAAATGCAGAATTTTACAAATTATTCCCATTCCTGTATGTATCTTGAACCTTGTGTCTTCTCTCATCACCCTGGTAAAGTCTATTTCTGCATCATTGTGTCTAACTTTGGCTGTGTGACTTGTTTTGGCAATAGGCCAATAGCAAACATGACACAAGAAAGTTGAAAAGTGTTTTCAATTATATGGCAGTAAAATTTGGGGGGTTTGAACATTGGTAGAAGGGCTTCTACCACCATATCAAGGATAAAACATTCTCTCAATTTTGCCAGATCCTAGGGCTGACATCTTGTAAGGATGAACTAGATATTGTCAGAGTTTGAAAGAATAAAAAAGTAATTCTTCTGAAGTAAATATTCAAGTCATTTGCAGATAAAAACATACTCAACACATTTTATAACATAGTCTGCACAAGTTCCTTGAACACTGCATGAGGTAATTTTCCAGGACTTATTTTAAGTAAAATAAAGACCTGTGTCTCTTTCTGTTTTAGTTTTTACTTGATTTATATATCCTTAGTGTTTAAGCATTAATATGCCTTACTTTTAGCATTTATGTAGCTGTGTTAGAGGAAATAATGCTATTTCTTCCTGATTTTTTTCTCTTCATGGGTTAAATGTTTCATTGTTAGTTCATAAGGCTAATAAAGAAGAGTTACTTGGAAAATGTCCAAGAGATAACTCAGGTACAGCATAGACTCCATAATGATTATGAAATATAACAGAGGTAGGAGTCAGAGATCATTACCAAGCCAGAGGAGATATGTGTCACTTTCATTGTCACAAATTTTTTAAAAATCCAAATTTTTGCCTTATTTCTCTTATATCTATTTCCTGGTTCATTTGCACTCTTATTCTAAGATGGGAACTATGCATCAGATCTGATTCAGAAGAAAAATATTTATACTATAATAGGCTCTGCTTCTCTGGAATATGTAAATATCACTAAAAGCAGGCTATTAAAAGTTTGTAATCCTATTTTAAGAGCAAATATTTTTATTATCAATTAAGGCAGTAACAACTTATAAAATATATACCCCAAGCATTGGAGGAGTCAAGCACTAAAGGGGAAAGATATTAAAAGAAAGTGCTAAAAGTAAAGAAAATATGAAGAAAAGAAAATGACACAAAGCTAACCTCCTAAACAGTTTTGCAAAATTACATATAATAACTAAAATGTAATTTAATTCTATGTCTGTCTTTCAGGAATCATTGGTGAAAAGAAATAAAAATATATTGCATATCAGGCCCTCCCTGGTGGCGCAGTGGGTTAAAACCCAGCACTGCAAGTTAGCGGCAGCTGCTTTAGTGCCTGTTTAATCCCTGCCCCCCCCCCCCCACAATGGCCCAGCAGACCTTTCCTTTCTCTTCTGCTGCTCCTCTCAGCAGTGTACTTTGTTGATCTGCCTGTTTTGCTCCCCACTCTGTCTCTGGTGAATCCTTTCACCACCCCTGAGCCTCTGGCCTGTACCCGGGTTCTGTATGTATAAATCTTAAAAAAAAAAAAAATAAAGCAAAAGTATATTGCAGGCCCTCCCTGGTGGCATGGAGGGTTAAAGCGCAGCACTAAGAATTGAAAGCCACTTCCGCATAAGTTCGAACCCCACCTGCCTTGGAGGTGACCACATGGCTATGCAGACCTCTCCTGACCCGCCCGCTGCTCCCCTTAGCAGTGTACTTCGTTGATCTGCCTGTTCTGCCCCCCACTCTGTCTCTTGTGAATCCTCTCACTGCCCCTGCAACTCTGGCCTGAACCCCAGTTCAGTATGAATAAATTAATAAATCTTTTTTAAAAAAGTATATTGCATATCTAAAAGTTACAAGTGATAGTGTATTTTTCAGATAAGTGGCCACCACTATAAATCTTGTTCCAAATTAGTTGTTTATTGTTCCAATTAGTTTCTCTATTGTTTTTAGACACCAAACAGAAAGTAAGTCCCCTTTTGCCCTGGGAAGTAGGTAAACGTTTTAGATCAGTTTGAGACAATTGAATTCTTTGATATCACCAGAAGATAAAGTCTGGGTAAAATAAACAAAAATCTTGTCTTTCTCTTGAATATAAATATGGGAAATTCTCATTTCCAAGATGGACTTCTTCAAATCTAAGGGGTTGAGGATAATACTAACAATGATAGTTCAGAGGATTTAAAAGCAGGACTGTTTTTGCTAACATACCTGTTTTTGCTAGGATATCCAAGCTTTGTATAAATGCAATTGTGGGGGTGCATAATACCCCTAGGATTTCTGAATATTCTACATATTTCTGATACTGTTATATGTTGATATATCAATCTTGAATTTTTGCCTAATTCTGATAACTCAAAGAAAAAAATCTTTAATTAATTTAACTAATTAATTAATTCCTATAACACTGTTGCTCCAAGAGAAATAAGGGTTCTTATCAAGCCTCAAATTGACCCTAAATATTCAAACTCTCAGTTCAAGAAACATCTGTGAAATAATCATCTGTGTTATGGTTGGCAATGCATCCTAAACCAAAATCCTACTGTAACTTTTACTATTATACCTCTTATGGGTATTGATAAATGTCTATTTTTATATACTGATTGAAATTTCATATTCCTAAGAAGAGGATTTGACAACAGATGATTTGACACCAGTTCTAAATTTTAAGTATTTTTCTGGAAATAGATCTAATAACTCTAGTTCATTGCTTTGTAAGACTGATGGTGAATGGAAATATTTCTTAAGCTATTTATTAAATTTAATGAAACTGCTCCCAGCTGTTGTTATGTTTTCACTGATACTAAAATTTTAATTTAGTTTCTCTAAATGACTGCTCTTGAAACTAGAATTTGTTTTAAATGCTTTCCTAGAGGTTCTGATTCAGAAGATCTGAATATGAATCTGTACTTTTAATTAAGCAGTAGGCATTGGCAGGCAATTGACAGGCAATCACACTCTGAAAAAGGCTGCTTCAACTGAAAATAAAAATTACATGCTCACACATAAACTAAAACAAGATTTCTGTACATGTCTCTTACTTTATTCGAGAGGAACATATAAAACTAATATCAGAAGAATTATTTTTCTAAAGCTTGTAGCTGTGAAGCAATAAGCTGCTTACCTTATAGGAAAGACACTAAACCAAGTCACTAATCAAGTTCCTTTGTAATTTTGTTTTTAGGCTTCAGACTAGTATATATTCAAAAGAAAATATGGAGGCTTAGGAAGAGATTCAGAGATGCAAAGATACAAAGCATCTCATTTATGTTACAGAACTGGAAGCAATCTGACAGATTTTACCTAGATCAGAGATCAACAAACTATAACCAGAGAATCAAATCTAAGCCTACTATTTGTCTGTTTTCATAAATAAAGTTTCATTAGAAAAGTCATACACATTCATTTCAAATTGTCTATGGCTATCTTTGTACTACAATTAGCAGAAGTGAGTAGTTATGACTTGATTTTCTAAGCAAAAAAGTTTGATTTTATGTAATCAAATTTACCAATATTTTCATCATTTTGAGCCACAGTTAAAAAAGGCTTTCTTCTGGCTATAAGGAATTTAGCTCCTTGTTTCTTCTGGTTTTGTGTGGTTTCAATATTTTATATACATACACTTAGGATATGTTCTAGGAACAAGTACTCATTTAGTGGTTCTATTATTAGTTGGCTTGCTGCTATGTTATTTTGAAGATAATTTATGTAAATTGTGGGATCAAATAAGTAATTCTTTTCATGTTGTTAGAAATCAAGATTTTTAGCATAAGAAAAAAAAGCACAATCACAAATTCAAGAAATTAGGTAAAACTCTATAACATATTTGATATAAAATTATCGACATGAACTCTTATTCTTAAAAGTTATATTTGTGGGCCCTCCCTGGTGGTGCAACAGGTTAGAATGCAGCACTATGATTCCCAGCTGGGGGTGTGTGTGGGGGGGTGTGTGTGACTTACATGGCTAGCTTCTTAACCACTGCTGCTCCCCTCAGCAGTGTATTTCAGTCAATCTGCCTCTTCTGCTCTCCGCTCTGTCTCTGGTAAATCTCACCCCACTCCCACACCTATGTACTGTACCTCAGTTTTTATGCATAAATATATCTTTTTTAAAAAGTTTTATTTTCTAGGCTCTAGTAGAGCCTAGAGTAACGAAAATGCAGTATTAATAAGCAGTTCTAGTTCTGAAATGAGTGATCCTCACTGGAAAGAATTAAGAATTCTTAAACAAACAAACAAATAAAAAGCATGGACCTTTCAAAAGCTAAGAGAGTAATATCAGAGGAATACAAGACTGGGTCAACTTGAGCATCAAAATGAAAAGATAACTACAGTGGATGAAATACATTGAATAGATAATAAAACCCATGTATCCTAATGACACACAAAAAAAGCCTTTCCTGAAAGGGGCGGAAAAATCTTTCATTCATTATTTCTAGAGACAGAGTTAGGTAGGTAGGTAGATTGCTTGATAGATAGATGGATGGATGATGGATAGACAAAGTATCCTGAAAATATGTTACTAAAAGAAAATAATTAAAATGTATTCTCTTATTAGAAGGAAATATATTTCAATGTAACCAAATAATTAGGAACCAAGTAGAATTTATTTCAGGAATTCCAAATAGCTTATATTAAAAAGCAAATACATAAGGAAAGACAGAAGAGAATAGAAAAACAAAAGGGGAGTAATAGGAGTCAATAGCGAGATTTATTGAAATATATTTAACCATTTCAATAATTAAAGCAGTGTGTTGCTAGTTCATGAATAGATATAGACCAATACAATAGGATAGAAAATTCCAGAAATATATTCCAAAATATACAGTTCATCTCAAGACAGTGGGGCAGTGATAAGTTAATCAGCAATTCTTATTGGGATCATTATTTAGCCATTTAGAAAAGGATAAAAATGGATCCATATCTTATACTGCAATCTAGGATAAATTCCAAATGGATTAATTATTAAACTAATAATTTCACAAGAGACATGGGGGAATTCTTTCATATTCTTAAAATGTAACAATGACTTAAACCCATTAGCTATAAAATAAACTCAAGCACACAGAGATAATTTCTTTTTCTGCATGACAGAAGAGAAATGGCAGGTGAAAACCAGAAAAATAGCTGTAACTCGGTCATACACTTTTTGTATAAAAGAAAGAAAATTTAGAGACCATAATCTCATTTGTATACATATTCATAAAGAAACTCTAGAAGGATCTACTGAAAACTAAGAACAATGATTAGATAATGTCAGAGGTGTAGTAGAATAGAAGGAAGAGTGGGAGAGATACTTTATTGTATATCCGTATACATTCTGGGTTATCAAATGTAAAGTTAAAACTTTAAAAAGTCCCTCCTCTCTTATAGCTTACTTTTTAGCAGGGCAACAAAAATACACACACACACACACACCCAGGATCCCAGTAACTTAATCTAAATGCATGAATACATGGAACTTAATATACTTCACTAGTTTTCCGTGTCTTTAAAATCATTTACTTTAAATCTTATATATGTTATGCTGTATATTTGCTTTTCAATGTAAGAAACAAGGTCATCAACTGAACATATAATGAACTGTTTGTTACCTGTTGCTGATAGTGTTGGGAACATGTATCTTCAGTTGTTCTGTGACATCTTTCATCACCCTCTGATATCCAGACATTCCTAAGTCCTTGATATAATAAGGATTGTTTCTCATTAAGTATTCCCCTAAATAATTAATTGGATCAAACTTTGTTGGAATGTCAGCTTTCTCCAGAAGAGTCTTCTTTTCTACTTGCATTAACATTTTTTCTACTCCAGGAACTAAAGTGGGTAGAAGTTTGTCAAGCAAATATGCACGAGTATCCAGGGTCATGTTATCAATATTAAACCACTCTGTGGCCAATTCATCTCTAGGTAGCTTTTTTTCAGCCTTTTTTTGTAGTTCCTTCTTTTTATTATCCTTATCTATTATTTTCTGCTGCATTGCCTGGGCTCTTGCCTCCACTCTTTCAAAAAGATTTTTCTTCCATGGTTGTTCTAGGTTTGGTTTCAGTACAGTTTCATTTAAATTGAAAAACACTTTTGCAGGTTTTCTAATCACAATGTTCTTTGGGACTCCAGTGTTAAAGTCCTCTATTAAACCACTTGATGATTTTAGTTCCTCCTCAATGTTTGATTCTGTGGGGGGGGGGGAAGTGAAATGTAAGAAATACTAGAAGTAGACTTTAAGTTACACCTTCAAATGTTTTTTAGGAAAAAAAAAAGATGTTTACACCCCTTTGCATGCTATATTGGAATTGAGAGAAAGTCAAATAATACAGGCCATATAGTCATTTATCTTTGATGTTTTAAGAAGCTACACTGTTTCTATCATTCTTCATTTTTTGTTTATGCTTTACAATCATTATATGCACATTGTACTTCCAAGCATCACTTCTTTACAGGAGAAAAGAACAGGGAACAAAGGAGCCCGCTCCTTTTTTAGTTCTGTTTTATTTTCTAAGAAAAGGTGAGCCCAGATTTCCTAATTCAAAACTTTCTTTTACATGTCATTGACCCTAATTAGGTTACATGATCCTTCTAGTCCAATCACTGATAAAGGGAAAACAGACTGCTATAAATAGTTTTGATCAATGATAATATATTCCTTCATGTCAGGGTTTTGACCAAGTTCTATGAAATCCACCTACTCAAAGTTAAGATTCACTGTATCAGGCAAAAGATGAGGAAATGTCTGCTGAACAAGTAGTGAAGGGAGTCTACCATATATGTATATTTAAACATATTTTCCCCATCCTCATATGTCTAGTCTCTTTCATGTTTTTGAATGCAGGGTAGAGATAATCAAAATAGTGCTCTGAGAACCAACACCAAAATCTCCAGAACTGACAGAAAAGATTGTGGTGTATGTTTAATAAACAGTTGTCCCTTAGTATCTGAATTATATTGGGCATTGGAATCAGAAATGCCAAGGTCCAAATTCTAACTCTAACATCACTATGTGTGTGACTTAGAACAATTAACTGAATCCTCAAACTAAAGTTTCTACTTCTGTGAAATGGATATAGTAGCTATACTTAGCAGGATAATCACAGAGAAAACTATACATATTCTTAAAATTTGTTTTAACTATGGTTGAAGGAGCTCACTCAAGAGTTTCTTGTGTGAGAAAACAGATCGATTTGCTGTCAACAGGAAAGTTGGCCTTGGTTTACTATCTTTGGAGTTTATCTTCACAGATACAATAAAATATGATTCTAGACCATGAGTCGTCTGCATGTAGTAGAAGTAATTGATCTTAAATTAACCAAGATACCATTAATGCAAGAAAAAGTTATCACTTAGCCCACAATTAAGCAAGGGGTCTATCCTCCAGGAAGATCTGGTCATTTGTAGAGAGACTGTCCCCATGATTTATAACTATCTGATGAACTTCGACCATGTCTATATTAGTTTGCCCTTAGCCTGCCCCTTAGCCAATTAAATTTAATTCCTCAGTTTTTGACCTTGCTCCCCCAAATCAATATAAACCCATTCTCCTTCCTTGGATGCAAGACATATTTGAGTTTTAACTTCTGTCTTCTTACCAGCTGACTTGCAAACAAGCCCTTTCTTTTTTCAAAATGTCATTGTCATAATATTGGCCTATGTACACCAGACAGCAAGCCCCTTGGCTTGGTATCAAGAAAATGACCAAGAAATGAATTTTATACTATATATATATTAAGGAATGGGCAGAAAAAGGACACATAGGATTCTGAGTATGACTAGTGAGCCAGGAGAAAATAATATAAATTAGAATCATAGAACCCAAAAGTAGAGTTTAAAGAAGGATGTATTACTAGAGATTCTTTCATTTTCTAGCAATAAAAATCCATCTCACAGGGATAAAATTAAAACTACAATGTATTAACCTAATAGCAGTAAAGTCCAGTTTTTAGGTACAGCTGAAATCTACTTCTAGTGTCTGCTTTGCTCTGTTGAATTAATTTTTAGGTAGGTTGTCCACACATAGTGATAAAAAAGGGTCACAGAAGCTTTAGATATATAACCCTTATAACCATTGACTTCCTAAAAATCAGTCATTAAAATTCCAGTGTGAAAAATCCTAGGAAGTTTTTAGTTAACTTGGCATAAATTCTATCTCTATTTCTGACCTATCAATAGCATTTGAAGTGTAGTCATTATTCTGATTGGTCAGGGTTGGATCCCACTCATTTCTGGATCTGAAGAGAAAGGGTCAACCCCATATAAACCAAATAGGTTAAGTAAGAGAGAAGGGTGGCTCCACAAAGAGATGCTGGGCAGACAAAGATAAAATGTACTACCACAGCGGAAGGAGTCAGTGTGTAAAATGCTACAGAAAAACCAAATGATAGAATAGAAAGTATACGTTGAAACTAGCATCCAGTTTTTCCTGACTCAGTTGAGAGCAATTTCTGCGATGAGAATAGAACTTAAACTATACCGGGTTGAGGAAGAACTTGGAAGCAAAGTGCAAACTATATAAGCAGAGGATTACTTTAGGGATGTGATTGTGAAAGAGAGGGTTCTTCATTAAAGGAAGTGTGTATGTGTGTATGTATAGTCTAAGTTCCATTCTTATCACAGAAATTACTCTCAACTTTGAGTCAGAAAAACTCAGTGCTAGTTTCAATGTACAGTTTCTATTTTCTTATATCATTTAATTTTTCTGTTGCATTTAACACATTGACCTCTTCCTCTGTGCTAGTATAGTTTATCTTTGTCTGCTTCATATAAATATATATATATGTATATATATATATATACATATATATATATGAAGGAAGAAGGCAATGTAGAGAGGAAAGTAGAACCTAGAACCTAGAAGAGAGATTAAACAATGGTCCTGAGGGTTTGAGAAGTTATGAGGAACTGATATTAAAATATATAACAGACTTGAATGAGATTCTTCCTACCTTGTACTGAGAATATTCCCTCACAACCTCTAACTTTTGTGGAGTAAAATAGATATTACTAAAATGAAGGAATGGAGTTGCTTATGCATGATAACCTTTTGAAACAACTGTTGTGGGGGTCAAAAAGAACAGAGTACAAACACACATAGATTTCCAAGATATACACCAAATTGAACTCCATTTATTGTCATTGACATTAGCATACAAAATTGTGAGATTTTTTCCTAGCAGAACTGACTAGTTTTAAAACAATGACAGTGATAAGGTGGGGACTAGTCACCATTTGTGGGTTCTGACCCATCTGTTCACAATTGTAAGACACCACTTAGATACAAGGTGCAAAGACAACAGGGTTTGTTAACAAAGGAAGATTAGGAAAAAGGAAAGAGTATTCTAAGTCCATAATGACTTGGCTGTCCTAGCCCAGACAGTGTCTGCAGTATCCTGTAGTCCAAAATAGAGGCTGCTCATGAAAAATGGTGAAGTCATTTCAATGAGGTCTGGACCTGGTGGTACACTGGTAAGCAGTGGACTAGGTTTCAACTCAGAGTGGCAGCTGGAGGTGCTCACAGATATGGTTGCTGAGGTAACATCACAATAGCCCACAGCAAGTCTGAAGTGCAGGAGACACCAATGTTACAGTACTTTCAGAGCTGTTGGCATAAGTCAACAGCAAACAGCTTTTTAAAGACATCAGACTTAGCCAATGGTGCTATTGACAGATGATGTCAGTGACAGATTCAGTGGCCAGATCTCTACAAATGTCTCAGAGGTTAAAGTCCACAAGAATCTAGAAGTCTCAAAGTTCTTATGAAACTGTCTGTGAAAGATCTGCTGGATAAGTTTACAGACTTCTGCTCAATCCATCTCTTCTGAAGCCATCCGATGACTAAATCAAGCTGGCTGATCCTCTGGCTTATATCCTCTTCTGGGTATCCACCTTTCAAGCCTGACTGGATCACTTGCAATCTTAGCTCTTTGATCAGTGCCACACAAGCACCAAACTGATTGTTCCATTTTCAATCCTTAATGGTCTCAAAAAAATCTTGAATGAAACCTGTGTGAGCTAGAACCTGCACATTTCAAAAATGAAATCCAGGACACTTATCTAGATGTAACTTACACTCAGGGTAGGCTCCTTAGAGGTAGGAACAGGGGAGTCACAAATGGAGCTGCCTCAGTAGTGATAGATGCTTGTTGCACCCAAAGTTTCAGCAGGGCCAGGTGTTTCAGTGCAGGGGTGTGGACTTCCACCCCCCCAGCAATGCTGAGACACAGGTCTGAGTGGTTGGAGTTCAGGCCACTGTGGGCTGCTCAGAGCCCACCATCTGTCCTGACTCATTACAGGTCTTTCTCCTTTGGCTGGTGCAAACCTGGGCAAGCCTTGCCATTAGAGCCTTAGGGAACTACCTAAGTGGAGAACCACCACCAGTGCAGCTGGAGGGATTTCCAGGACTGAGTTAGATCAAGTTCTGATCAATAACATCAGATTTTTTTTAACCTATCTACATGAATGGCATGAAAAACTTAGCGGGTATCTTAAGATTTTTGTTTTTTTTTCTGACATGACCATTGAGAAGAAGTATCAATAATTTATATTAGTATTTTTATACCCATTACTTTTAACATAATGTAGAAAGTAATTGTTGAGTCATATTTCAGTTAATAGTAACTCCCAATAAGTCATACTCACACAATAAATGGGCAAGAGAACAAAACTCCCACACTTGGAGTTTTTTGAATATTATTATGAACACAAAAACATTAATTCAAAAGGACACCTGCACCCTCGTGTGTATTCAGCACAGTTTACAATAGGTAAGCTATGGAAGCAACCCAGATGTCCCCAAAATAGATGACTGGATCAAGAAGATGTGGTATATTTACAAAATGGAATTATCACTCAGCAATCAAAAAGGATAAGCTCATGTCCTTTGCAGCACCATGGATAGAGCTGGAAGGGATTATGCTCTGTGAAATAAACCATAATAACTATAATAAAGTAAAAATCAAAATCATCAGGCAACTATAAATCAAAACCATTCTGTAGGGGAGAAGGGAGAAGGATCAGGACAGGAGTGGGAAGAGCACAAGGAACTATGGTGATAGTGCACAAGTGAATTGGTGGTGGGAATTTCATGGGGAAACCATACATTGTACAAAAATGAAGGATGATGTAATTGATATATTAAAAAAATTTTAAAAGAAATACTTAAGACCTATAAGTACAATCATTACATAAGTAGCAACATATCTAATCTTAAGGGGGAAATTATCTACATATTAAAGTCTCACATATACCCCTATTTTACAGAAACACAACTATAAATTCCATGTATATCATTCATCTACATTTGTTTTCATTGTGTCTAAACGATATAATATTGTTCTTTATAAAAATTCTTTCTATTCTGTAACCTTATGTTTAACATTATGTTCATGAAATTTAGCTGCCTAGTAAATATAACACATCTAAGTTCATTCATTTTCACTATTTTATTATTTTAACATATGGCTAAATTGCATGTATTTACCCACTCTCATTTTGGGAGAGATAGCCATAGATCATTTAAGATTCTTTTAATTTTATTAAAAATTTTTCCAGTTTTATTGAGAATATTCTGAAGAGTATTTTAAAATCTTACCTAGGTAGTATTCACCCAGAAAAAAATTAATCAATCAATAAAGAAACCCTTGAAAAGACATTCCAGCTAAAGAATATTTTAAGTTCAATTATGGATAGTATTTATGAAACTTCCTCCACTGTTTTTATTTCCTCCTTGGCTGATTTTTTTTTTTTTTTTTTGAGATAGGGAAGTGAGGAGGATAATGTAATACTCTACCATACCTCTCATTTGGATTTGCAAATTAACCATGTTGGGGGAAGGGTCTCATTCAGTTTTGTCACCATGCTCAGTAATATAAAATGCTTTTATTTCCACGTCATATATATGTAAGAGAGACATTCTTTTAAGCCTGCAGTTACTAATGTACTTGCTTTGCTTTTAACTTCTACTATCTAACCTAAGGTAGCTATTATTCCTCCTACTTTAAGGGTAATTCTATAGATGTATAGTAACTTAATATCTGCCATCTGCCATTGCTCATTAATAAATTTGCACAAGAACTGGGGCATTCTCATCCTCATGACAGCCTGCTAATGCTCCTCTAGTGTTGTTGGTTATAATGGGTTGCTAAAGCAATACTCCTAGTGCTTACATAGTCTCTACTGGTATGCAGAATGAAAGCAGACATTTGTCTATAACTCTAGTCAAATACTTCTTTCTTAGTCACGAAACCAAGGAAAGAAAACAGCAATAGCAAGGTTAATAAGTCAGGATTCTGAACAAGACTATCTGAAGCTGTCTTTTGATTGAATGACTTTTGATATCAAGGATCATAAATCATAGTACTATCCCAAGGGCAAATTAGTTAAATTCAGCTGAATATAGTTTCAAACAGGTGCTGAGTATATTTAATAGGAGTGTATTTTGATATTCCTAAACTTTTTACAGGTAACTTGACTCATTTATAAACTCACTCTGTAAATAACTACAGTGTCTCAATTTGTGCCAGGCATTATGCTACACATTGGGATTCTTTCACAAGATGTCTTTATAGAATTAAGAGCCTTTAAAATTCTCCCCTAATTCTCCCCTTTATTCCTGCATTAATCTATCTTCTAACACACAAAACCCAATTCAGGTACTATGCACATAAATGTTTTTAACTAATTAAGTAGGAAAACAGAAGAATTTCCTATTCATATTTGGAAAGGTTCAGTTTTATAGTAATTTCTATCATTTCCTAAACTTAGCACATGGGTTGGGCATGGCTTCAATACAACCCTACTTATGAACATAAATAGGAGGGAATTATAATCCACAGTATAATAAACCTTAACAGATTCTTTTTTCACTAAGAGATACATAATGTCAGTAGAACTGGCTGCTTGATTAAACTGGTGAAAATTCACCCAGGAGGTCTACTAAAGGAGATGGTATGATGTTCTCTTTCAACATAGCATTGTTTAAAACTCATCTGGTTTGACTTATGAGCATGATTTCTTAACATTTGTACATAATGCAGAATGACTACTATGGAAAAAAGGAGTAAAGAGTATTAAACATTTCTGAAATTAAAATTCAATAACTATAGGAAAAGTTATTTTCCAACAAAACTTTGTTCATTTTAGGACTACGTAATATGCACAGAGCTAAGCAAACCAGTAGTTCAAAACAAATATTTATCAAAATAAAAGTTAAACTCAGGGTCTGAAGAACAGAAAAACTAGGGAAAAGAAATGAGGAATTCACACAGGACCTTTAACTACAGTATGTTTTATGCAAAGATATGTATTTGAGTGCATTCTGGTTGTTGCCTGGCAAGGTAACATCATTTTAATTTTGGCAAGCATAGAACAAAGATAAAGATAACTCCTTTTACATATTGAAGTTTTAATAGTTCCATTTACCACTTACACACAAACTCTCACACACACAATTACAAAGGGAGATTCAGAATACTAGGTTTAATAACGACTGGTAACGGAATATGTCTGCTATATTGATATAGCACTTAATATTACAAAAAGCCACTTCAGGCAATAAATCATATAATGGAATAACTGTGTGAAATTTTACAGTTGCAAATTTGGCCAAAGTGAACATCTGGTTAATTTTACAACAAGTTGCCTAGATCACAATTCTGTATGACATGAATAAGTTTATTTAAAACCTGGTCCAAGTGACTAAAGTAAAGACAAAATATATAGATAGGAGGTGGAGGTGAAGGGTGAGAGTGTGGAGGAAGTAAAATCAATAAGCTGGTGGGGATTGGAGGCAGTGAGGCAAGAGGGACTTGACAAGAAACTTGAAATGTTTGTGAAGTTATGAAAATGGTATTAAGCTTAAAATAAAGATGGAGTAAAAATTAGAATGTTTGGTTCTCAATGAGTATTATTATAATGTGTATTAATAGAAATAGTAAAATAAGTGAGAAGGAAAAGGGAAAAAACCAGATGATATCATTTATAGGAGGGAGGAATATAGGGAAACATTAAAGGGTCAAAAAAAAAAAAAAACAAAACCAAAACTTGTAAGCAACTTTAGATCTGAGGCTTACTGTAAGGGAGAAGGTGTGAGAGGGGACAAAACAGGGTGGAAGAGCACAAAGAACCAACGTTCTGGTTCACAGGTGATGTGCTGGTGGTAGGATATTTATGGGCACTACACCTAAGAGGAGAAATCAAACATAGTACAAAAATGAACAACTATGCAAGAAAATGTAAAACCCTAAAAGTTACAACTAGCATCTAGAGAGCAATTTATAGTTTAGAAAACACTTTAATAACTATTACTGTAATTCAGCCACACACACGATCTAGCACTACTTGTCAAATGAATTTCAATTAATTGTCAGGAAATTTCATTAATTGAAACTGTTAAAATTTAAAATGTAAAGAATTTCTGTTACATAGGATTTCACCACATAGCTAAAGTAAGAAGAACTGTAGTGAACACGCTGAATGCCTTGTCAATTTATTTGTTGACTTTTTGGTCCTCTGCTATTTCAATCTACATAGTGATGTGGGATTTGGCTTAAAAATAAGACTAGAAATCAAAGAGGATAAATGTGTGCTAGAAAGAAAAAACAGAAAAGTAAGCAGTCTAAATCATTAGGGTGCTCTATCTTATTTTTCTATTAATGGGTTGTCTGCTATGTTTAAGTGCTGTTGGCTAAATTTTTTTCTTCAAATTACCAGATAAATAGTGCTAAAATTGCCTCAAAAGTATTGATAGAAGGTAAAAGGGATAAATTTTAAAATATTTTTCAAATTGCTTTTAACTATCCCTGGGATTTTATTTATTTATTTATATGTTTCTTTATTTCTTTATTTCTTTGCTTGCTTGCTTAGAATTATATTTCTAGAAAGTAAAATCTTTACAAATGTATTAAAATTAGTTTTAAATTTATTAGATTTAAAGTTTGTTGTGTGGAGGAAAAGCTAAATCTATACCTTGGGACTGGATTTCATCTGTTTCATCTTCTTCCCCATTGCTCCCACTATCCAGTACAGAAATGTCTTGTACACTCTGTGAACTCTGAAGGGAAAGAAGAAACACCAGCAGCAAAATTAGTTGCCTTTCCTCAACATTTTATCAACTCGCCTAGTTAAAGACATATAAATGCCCTGTATTAATGACCGAATATCTCTATTTAATTTTGCTAAGATTTAATGCTGTAAAAAGGAAAGCAGTAATCATATCTATTGCATTCACAAAATAAAATACATTGGTTCAACATGTCATCATATCTTCCTACTGAGATTAAAGTAATATGCTTAAGAATATCATTCCAGATGTACATTAACTTTGAATTATACAATATTTTTCTAGAAATATAATTTGAGAACACAGCATAATGAAATCACACCTTTGAAGTGTTAATTTATCACTTCCATATTTATGGTGGAAAGAAAAACATTTTCATCTTAATTGAGGAAATTAAAGGGACTATGGTGATGTTGCCTGGTGAATTAGTGATGGGAATTTTATGGGAACTATACCTGAATGGAGAAAGTATTCATTGTACAAAAAGGAATGATGTGAAATATATACAAAATAAATTTTTTTTAAAAAACTGTAACTTAAAACAAGAAAGGGTAATTTTATGACTAAATGGCAAAATAATTTGTATTCATGTTGATGCATTTTTAAAAGAATGATAATAAAATATTATTATTCATTTCAGTCAACATAGCTATTTTAAACATAAATGTACTAATTATGGAAATTATATTTTCAAATAAGAAGTTTCCCTAAAAATCAGTGTTTATTGTACTTAGGTTAAGTTCTTATTTTAGAAATCAATATTTTATTTACCTAGAATTCATAATAGCTCTTCGCAAATAATTAACCCATCTATGGACACTTCCTACAACTGGATCAAATGGGCCAGCATAATGATCAACATGAGTTTTCCCTTTCCATTTGCCATTTGTTAATCTTTTTTGAATCCTGACATTTTATTTTCCTTCTTCATAAGAAAATTAACTTATCCAGCATAACATCTGACTATTCTTGACAATTCTACCTCAATAGGCTCTTCTACTTCAGTTACTTCTGACTGCCATTCTTTGTCTTCATGCCCATTTTCCTGAAATGGAAACTGTGTTAATCAGTGGTATCCAAAGGAGCAAGAAATTAAATTAATATTTTATATTCTGGTATAACAAACTTTTTATTTAAAAAAGTTCTCATAATGAATAAACATCCCAATAAAGTAAAGTCACACAAAGCAGCTGTGTTAGTCAGTCTAAACAGTAACAGGTTTTTTTTTTATAAAAGTGATACCAGGACCAAACCAATGTAAGTAGGCCACTGTAATCCAGTACTAGTGGACCACCTTTTTCCTGCCCTTTTGCCAAGAGTGGATGCAGAATACTTCACCTAAAAAGAGAAATAACTAATGACAGAATATGATCTCACATCTCAAATTTTCTAGGAATGTTAAATCTCAAATCTTTTCATAAATAGCTACAAACCTCTGTAGGTCATGTACCTGAGCTGATGTGTGTTCCTCTGGAGATGCTGATTCACTCATCTGGATCACTGAAAGATATCACCAAATGGTAGGGAAAGGTATTACCAGACCAGTACTAATAACAAAAAGAGAGAAAGACAATAAACAACAACAACAAAAAATACCACGAAAGATGAAATCTCTCTCTACCTATATTCCCCCTGCCTGAATCCCTCCATTCTATTGAATGATAAGTTCTCAACTGCCAATCTTTTCAAACTGTACTACTGTTATTACCGTTGTTACTGACCAAAACTAGATTATTAGTACCAGTCAGTACTGTTCAAGGAGACAGGAAAACTCACCATCATAATGGTCACCTATTATTAAAAGAAACAAACATCAACAGTAATGCTATGGAATGTTTAAAAATATTATCATACATCTTAATTTTTGAAATATCAAGTTGAGGTGAAATGAAACATTGATGGCTAACTAATTCACATGAGAAAGGCAGGCATTAGAGTAATAACCATGCTAAAAAATATTTGTTGGAGGAAAAGTTCTAAAAGGATTATGATTTAGTCATATGAAAGAATTACAATACTTAACTTCCCTACTTCAATGCAAATGACCACAGATTCAATCACAGATTATCAAAATCACTACCTTGCCAAAAATCATTTAAGAATTTGTGTGTATTTAGGCTAGGTTCTATGTAAAAAGCAAAT